TCTGAATGTACCATCACAACCACCACTTCCCGCTTTGGTCATGTGACCTCACAAACGCCTGTGTTCATATTTACATGTCCACTCAACTGTAAAACGACAACGATTTGTGGAGCCACTTAGTAAACGGTCGTGCCTTCCCCACTCCGGTCTTCTATATTTTCGCGGGAACGCAGGGTAACGTATTCGGCCAAGATAACCGGAGTGGCCCCGGCGTGGTTCAAGACAACATGCCGGGGCCCTCAACAAATTACGTTGACACCGTATCCGCCCTACAAGTGAGCAATTTAGGCAAAACAAGATCTTATTTTATTATAGCTTTAGCACAGTCATACACATACACACACACACACACACATTTCAAACAGTCTTCGCTCAGAGGAACGTGCTCAGTTGCGGCTACTGACTTTCGAATGTGATTTTTACATCATCAACGAAATAACCGCTGCGGGAACCGATACACACCAACGGACTTGAAGGTGTGACATTTTATCCTTAATAACATCATCTCAGCATTACCAAAACAACCGCAAAGGGTACTAATCAACACATAAAAATTAACCTTCATGTATTTGCGGAATCTAGATTCGAATGACAAACCTAGTGATTTTGGCCACTTTCCATGCCACAAGTTAACGAGCCACATTACACACGCACACTTTATTCCCTTCCGTAAACAACGCTTGGATGGTACGACCAGGTGACACAGCGACGAGGTGCCCACAATCGGGGATTCATGAACTACGCGAGATATCCACTTGGATTACGTCCTTCAGTCTCCAACAGTCATTCCAAGCACCCTCGGTGGCAATAGTGCTGTGAAAGGAAAAATGAAATACAACCAGATAAGCACAGGAAAAAAATATTTGGCTTCTTGATAAATGGATGCATCGCTTACTTACTAGATTAGAACCGTGTTTTCCACTTCATATTAACGCAAGTACATCTTGCAATGAGCCTATACCGGGTGGGTTATTGGTGGCTATCACTAAATTTTTGGTTGCATTAACACGTTCCATTTCATAATGATAAACTAAAAGTTTTCACGATTGCCTATCGTAAACATAACTGACCCACCATCAAAAAGAATTACATGTCAAACCGATGGCATGAAAACTCATTTGGGGAAATTTCATTTAAACTAAACCAAACAAAGAAAAGACATGTGAATCAAAGTGCAAGCATGAAAGTTAGAAATGCTTTCTACAAGGCCTATTATGCTAGTCAATCTGGATTTGCATTCTTTTTTACTATACCCAAAATGGACAAAAGTACTGACGTCTTGTAAAATGACTCATACGATATATTGGAAGTAATTCATTGTTAGATTAAATGGACACGTATGAGGTATGAGAGAAAGACCTGTGTTATTGCACGATTAAACATTCCTTACTGTTATCAATTGCCAGCTATACAGAAGGGTGCATGTCGCCATGCACCTTAACCAAGCCACTAACACGTGTTATTTTACAAACACGGACGCCTGCATGACATAATAACGACAAAATCCATTATATCAAACTGTTCCGCCGAATCCGATTACGTTCGTTGAGTGCATATTACCTCAGAAATAAAATTTGTTTCCTTCCAAAATAAAAAATGTCTGGGAAAAATACATTACACGCATATGTTTTTTTAAGACAGCAATGAAACATCTTCGCATACAAATGTCGAGCAAAATATTCGTTTTTTTTTAAAATGGTTTTATACTTTTACCAGTTCTATTCTACTACTATTAAAACCACGTGATGCGCCTTGTAAATTTACTTAGAAAGCATGTCTAAAATCACGTAAAGTTTATTCTCTTGCAATTTGCGAATATATTCGGGAGGAAGTATTGGGCGCTATTATTTGGAAATTTCATAAATGAACTTGCATTACCGAATTCTGGCCTGCCCAACAAACTTGTGTGGCCCAGCCATGGATATGATATAGAAAACTTAATAAAATATTATCGTCATTTGATTGCAAAGATTTTGCATTGCTTTCTACTAACAAAGCATGTGGTCTATTTAAAATTTAACTTCAAAAATCAAAACCGACGAGGAAAAAAAGTGAACATGTTTAACGGAGCATTGCTTTTCTAATAAAATCTAGGATTTCTCTTGGTTTTCTAAATTCAGCAGCTGCAAAATAAAACCTTTAAGATTTTTGCCAATTTGAAACAACAACAATAAATGTACTAATGTAAAGTTATACTTTTAAATCGATTGGTAATCATCAAAGAGCGATGCATGTTTTGTTTTATTCTTTCAAACCTGTAGTACACAGATTGCCCTCATTTATGAGGAATTTTGGTGCATATATTGAATGCCTCAATCTCCATATATGGTAGGAATTAAAGTAACGTAAATCTAGCTAATTGTCGTTCCAAGTCAATTCGAGTCGTTCCAGAATTAACTTAAAATGAGGTAATTTCTATTGCGATTGAAATCCCATTCATGATATGTGATCGTTCAACAATCTAAGTTTAATCAGCTCCAAACTAATTACTCACGAAATGCCACTCAGTGATTTTTTTTTTCAAGCACACCTGCTGTCATGCCTTCTGCACACTTCCATTAAGAAGGTGCATTCACTTCGCGACGGGTGAGTCTGTGATGCCCTCACTACTAGCAGAATTTCAGTAGACATGTTTTTTGCACCTCGACACCGGCCCCTTAACTCGAGGTATTTCCGTTAACTTGCCGTTGTTGATCCAACAAGCCCTGTCTACGCACAGGCGATAAGCAGTGACCTAATTTACACCTCAATACCATCCTCCAAACATGTTGAATGCCTCAAGTCCACGATCTAACGCGCATCGTTTCGTTGTGCTTTTAAAAAACGCCAAATTTCTCCGCAGCCGTAGAATCAGTGAGTGATACCCGGTACTACTCACACCTAGACGAGTTAACACCCACTCAGGCGCTATTCCAAGTTCCTCTGCCCATCCCTCCCCTCCCCCGACAAACCCCTCCATAACCCCACTTTCTATCAAACATCCATGGTGTTGAAGACCACGACGACGACGACGACTGCACGAGTTTAAAGCAATCATCCAATTAAATTAAGATGCGTTATTAACCAACTGCCAATTGTCTCAGTGGGAAATAAAGCAAAGTAAATCTAACTAATTGTCGTTCCAAGTCAAGTCGAGTCATTCCAGAACCAACTTAAAATGAGGTAATTCCTGTTGCGATTGAAATCCCATTCATGCTATGTGATTGTTTATCAACCTAAGTAAAATCAGCTCTAAACTAATTATTCATGAAATACAAATAATGAAATTTTTTCAAGAACACATGCTGTCTTTTTGCTTTCCTTGCTGCCTGCTCCCCCTCCTACCCCTCAAGGCTATTATCGGAGATCTATTTGATGTTTTGTAGGATTATGGCAAAAAATAACTTTTCCTTTACCCAAACGGCTCTCTTTACATCCGTTATGGCTCTCTACAAAAATACGCACTAAGTGGCGACAGCTACAACTATAGCATTTACTCAATCTGGTGACTTGACGCATCAAAATTATCAGAACCATCTACTCACCCTCGCTGCGGGGTCTCGTTCTCCTCTTCCTCCTCCTTCTCCTCTCTCCCACATTCTACTTCCCTCCTTTACACTTTCTTCATCTCCTTATTCCACCAGTCCAGTCCGTTCCGCTGCAAGCTGTGATGCCCGAGGAAGCCAGAGCAGTTGTCGTTGAAGCACTGGAGCACTCACAAAGCATTAATCGTCCCCAGGAAGTGGTCTCTGTTTCCAAAAACAAAACGACGCGCATTGCATTAGACCGCACACCAACCACCGAGCTCATTAACGTGCAACTACTAGTGGTATGCCGCCTCACTGAGGCGCAGTATCCACCACGCAGACTCATGTTGCGCCTCTCTGTACCAAAACTCACCTTTACCACTCCAAGCCACACAATTCCATCAAGTCACTGTGGTGTCCCGCCAAACCTGCCATCTTCCTAAGCTACACTACCACCATGGCAACTTCAGGCACGTACCCACGCCACACTGTCCACTTCAGTCGATGTCCACGATCAAGAAGGAGAAGTAGAACAACAAGAAGACTGCCAACTCATTCACCTAAACAAATCACACCAACAACTTACACTGCATACCTCTGTCTGCACAACCACCGCCAACACGACCGCACACCAGCCCACACACCGTCACACTGAAGCCTCCTCCTCGTCGGTCTCCTCCACAACCAATCACATTGCTCAGCCAATTACAGACTCCCACCTTTTCTACAACAACCACACACAACCTGCAAACCACCTGGTGCTTGTGCCAATCACAGCGAAGCTAACGTCACATCCCCAATTATGTACTTTTACTAACACCCCGCATTTCTTCACCGCCAGGCCCTTCACTCAATCCTCTTCGAGGTCGATTTTTTTTCCACATCGCCTGCATGCGACGTCGAGAACTAGGCCAAGGCCATACCGCTTTGATGAGACCACCTGCGCCGCACCCCCACCACCCACCCAACAACCAGCCTGCCAGTCAGCCACCCACGTTGGCCCAATTCACTGCCCTTTTTTTCCACGCGACCTCTCACTGATAAGACCACCTGCTCAGCCGCAGTCGCCGCACCCCCACCCCAACCCACCCACCCAGCCAGGTAGCCAGGCCCAATACACCCCC